CAACTTCACACGCAACTACTATTGCTCAGGCACATAGAACTGCTACTATAACTGCATTTTAGTTTTATTGTGTGTTTTTTACCATGTTTACCTACTCATGCTACTGAAACTGCAACTACAGCTATAACTGCACACTTCACTGCTACTGCAACTACAACTTAAAATAAAACTCTAAATGCAACTGCAACTTTAAATGCAACTGAAACTGCAAATAAAAAAAGCTGCTTAATCTGTTTTTGAAACTGCCACTGCCACTGCCACGGAAACTGAAACTGCAACTTCACATGCTACATCAACTCAAACAGTAGATGCAAACAAATCTAAAACGTCAACTGCAATCGCAACTGTATCTGAAACTGCAAACACAGCAAAAAGTGCAAATGCACATGCTACTGCAACTGCAACTAAAAAAGCATATGCAAATGCAACTGCAACTGCAAACGCAGCTCAAACTGCAACAAAAACTAAAACTGCAAAATTATATGCAACTGAAACTGCAACAGCAAGTGATAGTATAAAAGCAATTAAAACTGTTCTGGCCACCGTCATTGCAACTGCAACTAAAACTAAAACTGCAACTTTACATGCTACATCAACTAAATCTGCATATCCAAACAAAACTAAAACAGCAACTGCAATTGCTACAGAATCTTCAACTGAAAAAGCATATGCAAATGCATCTTAAACTGCAACCGCATATGCAACGGAAACTGCAACTACAACTGTATCTGCAACTGAAACTGATACTGATACTGTACAGTCTACTGCAACTGTACATGCACATAAAACTGACTATACAAATACTACTGTAAATGCAACTGCAACTAAAACTGTGTTTATTATTTATTATATATTTTTTATTTACTTTTACCTTCATATGTAACTGCTACTAGAACTACAACTGCTTATGCCGCTGCAACTGGAATTGCAACAGCAAACTCAGCTGAAAATGCAACTGTAAAGGCAACTAAGACAACAAGTGTACATGCAACTACAATTGCAAATACATATTCTACTGCAACTCATCTGTAGCTGCTAACGCAACAGAAACAGCAACTGAACATGCTATTGCAGCAGCAAAGTGCATAGCATATGAATCTGCATCTGCAAATGCGACTAAAAATGCAACTGCAACTGCAAACGCAATTAAAACTCCAACTGCACATGCAACTGTAACTACACCTGCATTTTGGTGTTATCTTATGTTTTTAACGTGTTTACCTACTTATGCAACCGAAACTGCCACCTTACATGCTACATACACTTAAACTTCAAATGCAAAATAAACTAAATTTGCTATTTCAATTGCTACCGCATCTGCAACTGCAAAAGCATATGCAAATGCATCTAAAACTAGAACTGCAACTGCTACTAAAACTGCAGCAGCATATGCAAATGCCACTGCAACTGCCGATGTAACTGCAATTACCACTACAAGTGCAACAGACACTGCAACCGCCACTAAAACTGCAACTGCATTTGCAACTAGAACTGCAACTGCAATTCAAACTAAAATTTTAAATTCACATAAAACTGAAACTGCAAACGCATATGCCACTCAAGTTTAACTGCAACTGTATCTGCAACTAAAACTGATACTACCACTGCACAGTCCACTGCAACTGCACATCTACATGTAACTGCCTATGCAAATGCTACTGCACATAAAACTGCAGCTAAAACTGTATTTATTATTTACTATATATATTTTACATGTATACTTTCACATGAAAAAGCTACTAAAACTACAACGGCACATGCCGCTGCCACTGCAATTGCAATGGCAAACACAACTAAAACTACAACTGCACATGCAACTGCAACTAAAACCGCAATTTAGTGTTATTGTATGTATTCTAAAATGTTTACCTACTCAGGAAACTGGAACTGCAACTGCAACTGCAACTGCATATACAATTGCCGAAGCATATGCAAATTCATCTAAATCTAAAACTGCTACTGCTACTAAAACTTTAACTGCATATGCAAATGCTACTATATATGCAAATGCAACTGTAAATGAAACTGCAACTGCATCCGCCACTCAAACTGCAACTGCATATGCAAATAGAACTGCAACAGAAACTGAAACTGCAACTGCAAATAAGACAAAAACTGCAACTTAACATAAATCTACAACTGCAACCGCATATAAAACTAAAACTGTAACAGCAACTGTATCTGAAACTGTAACAGATACTGAAACAGCCACCACTACTAACACTGCAACTGCATACGCCAATGCAACTGAACAGTCAACTGCAACTGCACATGCACATGTAACTGCCTATGCAAATGCTACTGCACACGCAACTGCAACTAAAACTGTGATTATTTTTTATTATATATTTTTTAGCATGTATACCTACACAATTACCTGCTACTAGAACTACAAATGCACATGCCGCTGCAACTGCAATGGCAACTGCAAACACAACAAAAACTGCAACTGCACATGCAACTGCAAATGCAAATATACTGCAACTGCAAATTTAACTACAATTAAAAGAATGATAACAACTAAAACTTTAACTGCACATGCAACTGCAGCTGCTTATGCAACTGCAACGGCAGCAGCATTTGAAACTGCAACTGCAACTGCCTATAAAACTGCAACTGCTCATACAACTGAAATAGCTACTGCACATGCCCCTTTACTTCATTTGCGACTAAAAATGCACACGAAATTTAAACTAGACATGACAGTTCACTTAAACTAAAAAAGTACATGCAACTGCATTTGCAACTAAACATCTAACAGCTACTGCAACTGACGATTATACTGCAACTGCAACTGCCGATTATACTGCAACTGCAACTGCAACTGCAAACGCAACTTTAGCTTCAACTTTAAATGCAACTAAAACTGTATCTGCGAATGCAATTGTCACTGTTCATGGTAAATTAAATGCAACGGCAACTACATTTAAAGAAGCATTTTTTTGTTATAATATATTTTGTTAAATGTTTCTTTACACATGCCCCTATAACTACAACTGCTACTGCACACGCACCTACAACTGCCCGTGCAACTGCAGATGCACAAGCAAAAGTAACTAAACATGCAACTACACATGATCTAAAAATACAACTGCAAATACAAATGCAAATCCTACTGTAACTTAAACTGCAACTGTATGTGCAACTGATACTGCTACAGCAACTGCAACTTTAACTGCCACTGAAATTGAAGCTGCAAAATTACATGCCACAAAATATGCAACTATAAATGCAAACAAAGCTATTACTGCAACTGCGCATGCTACTGCACTTGGACATGCAACCGCAACTGCAACTACAACTGTTACTGCACACGCAACTGCAATTTAACAGCAATTGTAACTTCAACTGCAACTGCTACTGCAAAGGCAACTGATACTGCTACTGCACATGCAATTAAAACTGCTAATGTAAATGCAACTGCAATTAAAACTGCCACTGCACATGTAAATGCATTTGCTATTTCATATGCAACTTTAACTACATATGTGACTGAAAATGCACACGTAATTGTAACCTTACAAGCAGTTGCAAATGTCCTGCAACTGTACATGCAACTGCTACTTCAACTGCAACTATTAGGGCTACTTCAACTTTAACTGCACATATAACCAAAACTAAAACTGCAAAAGCACATGCAACTAAAACTGCAACTGCACATTGTCATGCAACTGCAAATTGTACTGCAACTAAACATTTGACTGTTACTGCTACTGTACATTCTACTGCAAATGCAACTCCAACTGCCATTGCAACAGCACATGTATCTGCAACTGCTAAGGTAATTAAAATTTAACATTCTACTGCTACTTAAGCTGCGACTGCACATAAAACTGTAATTGAAAATTGTTCTGCTACTATAACTGCACTTGCCACTGTAAATGCAACTGTAACTGCACCTGTAACAGCAACTGAAACTACAACTGCCACTGCAACTACAAATGCAACTATGACAACAACTGTAAATGCAACAGCAACTGCAAATGCAAATGCAACTGAAACTGCAACTGCCACTGCAACTATTACAGAAAGTGCTACTGCAACTAAAACAGCAACAGCGATTGCCATTGCAACTGCAACAAATCTTAAAACAGTAAATTACCATCTTACTGTAACTGCAACTGCAACTGCAAACGCAGCTAATACTACAACTTCAAATGGTACTCTAATTGCACAAGCAACTGCAACTGCAACTGTAAATGCAACTGCAAGTGAAACTGCAACTGCACATGCAACTGCATTAACTACTGCACAAGCCACTTTAACTGCATATGCGACTGAAAATGCAGACGCAATTTTTACCTAACAGGCAGTTGCAAATGTCCTGCAACTGTACATTCTACTGCAACTGCATACGCAACTAAAACTGCCACTGCTTATGCTACTGCAACTGCAAATGCAACAGAATATGCAACTGCAACTAAGACGGCACATTAAGTTGCAAATGCAGCAGCATCTGCTACTGAAGCACCCACTGCACGTGCAACTGTAGCTGCTACTGCAACTACAACTGCACCTACACGTGCTACAGATACTAAAACTGCAGCTGCAACTTCAATTGCCTTGCAACTGCAACTCTTACGGTACTTACAATTGTTAATGCGACTTTAACTTCAAATTTAACTGCAACTGCATAATTAATTGCTACTACTACTACATATGCTACTGCAACTTTACAGTTTCCTGCTTCTGCTACTTCACATGTCACTATAAATGCATCTGCTACTGCCACTACAACTTCAACTGCACCCGCAACTAATGCTGCAACTGCCACTGCCACTGCAACTGCACATGCAACTAAAACTGCAAATGCATTTGCAAGAACATGTGCTACTAATACTGCAGCTCCAAAAGCTACTAAATCTGTTCCTGCCACTGCAACTGCAACAGCAACTGCAACTAAGATGGACTCTTCACATGCTTCATAACTGAAACTGCAAATGCAAAAAAGACTAAAACTGCAACTGCAATTTCTACTGAATCTGCTGCTGCATAAGCATATGCCAATGCATGTAAAACTGAGGCTGCCACAGCTTCTAAAACTTCAACTGCGTATGCATATGCAACTAAAACTAATACTGCTACTGCACCTAAAACTGCAGATGCAACTGCAAATTCCCATGCACATGCTTATTAAACTGCTAGTGTAACTAAAACTTAATATTTTTTTAAATTATAAATTATAACGTGTTTATCTACACATGTAAATGCAACTTCCACTGCAAATGCAACTGCTAATGCACATACAACTAGAACTTTAAATGCTAATGTAATTACAAAATCAACTGTAAATGCAACTGCAACTGCAATTGTCATTGCAACAGCAATCTAATCTGCAAATGCACATTCAACTAATACTGTATCTGCATATGCAAATAATACTGCTACAGCAACTGTAAACGAAACAGAAACTGCAACTTGACATGGTACAGCAGCTGCAACTGCCAGAGCATATGCAACTGCAACTGTAAATGCAATTGATCTGCAACAGCACCAGCATACGCCACTGCAACTGCAACTGCACATGCAACTAAAACTGACTATGCAACTGCAAATGCACATGCTACTGCATTTGCAACTGCAACTACATATAAAACTGAAACTGCAACTAGTAATGCTACAGCAACAGGAAATTCAAAAGCACATGCAATTGTAACTGCAAATGCAACTGTAACTGCAAATTTAACTGCAACTGCAACTGTAATAGCTAATGCTAATGCAACTGCACATGCAACTGCAACAGAAACTGCCAATGCAACAATAACTGCACATAATACTTCCACTGCCTATGCAACAGAAAATTCAATTGCAGGTTTAACTAAAAAGGCAACTGCACATGAACTGTATCTGTACATGCAACTGCAACTGCAACTGTAAATGCTACTGCTACTGCAACGGCACATGCAACTACTCTTGTCACTATAACTGCAACTGCAACTGCAAACGCAACCCAAACTGCCACTTGACATGCTATTGCAGCTACAATTGCAACTGCTCATGCAACTGTAACTGCCACAGAATTAGCAGGCGCAAATGAAATTGCTAATGCACTGGCAACTAAAACTGACAATGCAACTGAAAATAGACATGAAACTGCATTTGCTAAAGCACATGCAACTTTACGTACATATGCAGCTGCAAATTGCACACGCAGTTGTATCTGAACAAGCTATTGCACATCACTAGCAACTGTACATGCATCAGTAATGGCAACTGAAACTGTAACAGCACATGCAACAGCAATAACAAACGCTACAGCATCAACAACTGTAACTGTACATACAATTGCAAATGCATCTAAAACCGCAACTTTTACTGCAACCGCATATGCAGCTAAAACTGCAACTGCACATACTTTTGCAGCTGCAACTGTCAGAGCATATGCCGCTGCAACTGCAAGGGCAGCTACATTAACAAATCCGACTGCAAACGCATAATAGCTGCAGCTGCACATGCTACTGCAACTGCACATGCAACTGCGACAACCCATGCAAATTCGAATGCAAATGCGACAAGAACTAAAACTGAATTTTTTTTTTTGTATTTATTATAACATTTAAACATAAAAATGCAACTGCAACTAAAACTGCAAACGCAACTTCAACGGTAACTACAATTGCCCCTGCCCCTGTAACTACATCTGAAATTTCAACTGCCTATAAAACTGATACTGCACATGCTGCTGAGTTTGCCTGTTCAACTGCTACTCCTACTGCACGTGCTACTGCAAATGTAACTGCAAATGCAACTTATACTTCACAGTCCAGTGTTAATGCATTTGCAACTGCAATTGAACAATTAACAACTAATGCTACCGCACATGCTACTGCAAATGCACATTAGGATGCTACTGCTACTGCACATGAAACTACAACCTTAACTAAAAATGCATCAACCAATGCTCCTACAACAGACAATGAACCGGCCCGTACTACTTCTAATGTTACAGTAACTTCAGATTAAACTGAAACTGCACATGCAACTTCAACTAGACACATTACTGGAACGGCAAAGGCAAATAAAACTGCAACAACATCTGCCACTGCAACTGCTTCTGAACATGCGACTAGTACAGCAATTGCTACTACTACTTCAGCTGCAACTGCGACTGCTACTACAATTAAACAATATACAAGAACGTCTACTGCAATTTCAACGGCTACTGTAACTGCAATTGCATGTGATAATTTACCTGCATCTTCAAAAGCCAATGCAATTGTTAATTCAACTGTAACAAAAACTGCTAGTGTAATTGAAACTGCAACTACAACTGTATCTGCACGTGCAACTTAAACTGCAACTGCAACTGCAACTGCAAAAGTAACTGATACTGCACATGCAACTGCAATTTAAGATGCAACTGCAACGGCAAATTCAACTTCAACTGCAAATGCGTATGCAGCTGTTACTGCACATGGAACTTCTATTGCCACTTAAAACGTATATGCAACTGCAACAGAAACTAAAACTAAAACAGCACATGTAACTTCAGCTGCAACTGCACATGTAATTGGAACTGCAACTGCAATTGCAAAAGTACATTTACCTGACACTTCAACTGCCACTGCACATTTAACTAAAACTCCACATGAAACTACATTTACAAAAAAGAACAAGAACTGCCACTAAACATGGAACTACCTGCTTTACAAAAACTGTACATGCTCCAGCAACTGCAACTACAACTGCATCTAATCGTGCAACAATAACTGCAACTAAAAATTTCACTGCAAAAGATACAGACACTGCAGCTGAACATATAAGTGCAACTGCACATGCCACTGCCACTGTACATTAAACTTCTACTGCTACTGCGCATGCTACTGCCACTGCACATTAAACTG